TCAGTCCTGCGCCTGGAAGAGATAAAAAGATTTTTTAAAAAAAAAATTATATATATATATATATATGTTCTTTCTGTTCAACTCAATAATTTATTTTCTTTTCCAAGCAACACAGCGTTTACTTCAAAATTTAATACTACATTTCTCAAAGTTTCATTTCATTGTTGCTTCCAATCCTGTTTTAATTTCAGTATTACTATTAAACAGTGCCGGCCTGTGGCCGAGCGGTTAGCGTGCCTGACTGCGGAGCCATAGACTGCGGGTTCGAATCCCGCTCTGGGCATGGATGTTTCTCTCTCTCTTCTCTGTTGTGTGTATGTATGATGTGTGAATGTGGCCCACCCTATAAACGGGTTTGTTTCAGTGTGGCGTGGGCAATGTTGCTCACCTCCGTGACTTTGGTTCACAGGTGCCCACTGGGTAACGCGAAATGAGCAACAATTCTGGCATAGTATAGGCAAGATTCAAATTCAGTCAAATTCTCAAGTTTTACTAAAAGAAAGTTATATTTTAAATAACTTTGATTTTCCTGTTTCATAAGTTGCGTTATGTTTAAGTTGACTGATTGTAGCTCAATCAGAATTCATTCAAAGTAATAAAGAACTTTTTCTAATTTAAGTCTTATTCTTTACAGATAAAATTGAGTGAAAAAAATGAGAGAAATAAAAGGGTAGAATGAAATCAACTATGGGACTGAAATATCCCAAACATATTTTTTAGAATGTTTTAATTTTATTTTTATTGCTGTAATTGTTTCATATTTCTAACTACCAATTGGTATCAGAGGTATATTTTTGGAAAAATAAATTTAAATAAACACGAGCATGTGAATAGTTATTTATTATTTTAATTGTTTATACTGTTAGTTTTGAATTTATCAGTATTGTGTGATGTAACTTTTTTAATTAGGACTATACTTTATAAAATATTTAATGGAGCTTGAAGTATTCATACTTTTAAATCTTACAACGCATATGATTCTTTTTTTTCTAAATTCCAATAATGTTCTGAGCCAGTTAGCCCTCTACTACTTAAATGTTGAATTCTGTTCTTTTTTCATGTATTTTTACTGATTTTAATGAAAGGAAATTATGGTTTTTTGATTTTTTTTTTTGATAAATGACAATCTGTTTTTATTTAAATAGAGGTATTAATAATCACCTATCGTTTCTCCGTACAGAATAATGCAATATAGCACTTACTAAGGTTCCGAATAATTTATTATGATATGTTCCTAAAAAAGTTATACGCTAAATTTAGTCTCTCAACTTTTTATAGTGTCAATTTGATTATTTTATATTTTGTAAATTTTCTTGGCTGTCATTTTTTTTTAATTTTGATTTTTAGGAAGTTAATTTAGTTAACATCACCGTGTCAAATATATGTTATTCCTCTAATTATTTGGATCAAATGTAAGCCAACTTCAACGGTATAATTTAAAGTTTACATCGTTTCCTGAAACTGAACTCATGACCTTGAATAAGGTCAAATAATCATATTTTGAGTAATGAGTAATGAACATGAGTACATTTCTAAAATATTAAGGCATTATTTTGGTGAAATTCAAAAGCTTTTAGCCAAATTTCAATGTTTTAGGTTGAAAAAACGTATATGAAGTCCTCGCAAGTTTTCTCATATTGAAAAGAAAAAAAATATTCGAACACTACGTCGATATTTGCTAATGAAATCTAAAGAGATTACAAACTTAAATGTCTTGAAGCATACAATTCTTTGGAAAATTTAACGGAATTATAATGCTATGCTTTAGAAAATGAAGAGTGCTCCAAGTTCGAAACATCATAGTCAAAAAATCATGATTATTTTGCAGTAATTTTGTTCTTCATAATTTATTCAATTTATATTTCAATAGTTTTAATTTATTATCTTTTTTCTTGAAAGAAATCAATAGTTTTAGTAAGAATCAAATAAAAAGTAATTTTATAGGAAAATGGTAGTGTATGCTTAGTTTTGCATCAAACTGCTTAATAATAATAAAACACAATTTACGTGCCTGCAAAATTATTAGTTTAAAAAAAACATCTATTGGATGTAGGATTAATAACTCAAATTCGTCTTCTTATTAGTTTTTTTTTAAAAAAAACATGTAATGGATGCATAGATCAAATTCTTCTTTTTTATTAATATTTTTTTTAAATTTTGGATTTGATTAACTAATTGCAAGAAATAATTCGAACGAACTTACCTCAGTATTTATAGACACTACGCGATCGTCTTGGTGTTTTAATCTCAGCAATGTATTTGGATTTGATAAATTATGTTCTTCTTCATACCATGGTGAAGGTGTTATAATGGTTGTTGGGGATAGTGGGATTCTGGGTAAATCATCTGTATAGTTTAATTCCGCTAAGCTAACTTCAATCTCATCCTTTTCCCTGTACTTTTTCTGGAAAAGAAAGTTTTATCAATAAAATATCATTTAATTTTTTTAGCTAATGATTCGTTTATAGTAAGACATTTTTATGTTAGTTCAATATAGCTTACCGATTAATGGTGTAAGTACACTAAATTCTGATTTTTATGTTTAGAAAACTTGATTTAAGTGTAAAGATTGAAGTTCTAGTCACTTCACAAAAAAAAGAATAAAAATATTCAACTTTTTTTTAAAAATTAGCATAAACTCATTTGTAAATTAATGTTATTCAATATCGATAGTTCTTAAAACATAACGATGAAATTTTAGTTTACTATTTTGTTTACTACTTGTATCTTGTGTTTGTTTGTTTACTTCTTAAATTTTGATTTACTTATTTTAAATAGCCTGGACTATAAATCCAAACAATTTTTCCCTGCCGAACATGATATTCTGCAAATTAAAGGGCTAACAATCCTTTCTGAATAATTACAAAAATGTATGCTTGTAATATTATTAAAATAATTGCATTACCTACATTACAATTAGATTAACTGTTTTATTTCAATTATAAATATGAAGTAAAAGGTTTCATTTACGAATTACTATTAGAAAAGGTACTAATGGAAAAAAAAGTATTGTTTGTTTTACACGAATAAACATTGTTGGAGAAATGAAGTTTAAAGGCAAGTGTATGCCTTCCAAAATACTTCCTTTGTTTGTATAGAACAATTTATGTTACTGAAAACTGGATCCTTAAGATCTACCAAAATCAAATCAATATTAATTTCTTTCTTATCTGCCCATTCAGTATCTTAGTTGCTTTCTTAAAAATTTATTGGGGGTGTTTTATTGGTATGGCTCCCCAGTTTTTTAATGATAAATTTTAGATTTATCAGTAGTATTAAAAAATAAATCTAAATTAAATTATGTAATCAATAAATCTGTTTACCATAAGACAATTCAGAAAACTCCAACCTAGGCAATAGATAAATTTTTTCAGCTCATAGTCATTATTTGTTTGCATGATGCACTGTAACATTGCCTAGCGGCTATGAGTAATCGCATAATGCATGATTTCCGCATTCAATTATGAGTCAGTGGCAGTGGTTCAAAAATATATGCATCTGAAAACTCCAGATTTATTCATGATTTATCATGATTTATTCCGTCGGAAAAAGCATTCATTAAAATTGCATCCACGTTGAAATAACTAATAACGAAACCATATACTTTATGAGGTTTTTAAACTTAGGATTTTTGAAATTAAGGTTCAAATACTTGAAAAAAATGTAGTAAAAAAATAAAGAGACGATTTAACAATTCAGTATGTTTTTTTTCTGCACTTGGATTCTAGATATAATAACGAGAAGAAAAATTGTTTTGAAGTGATGAGAAAATTGCAGGCCGATATTCAGCTTTCATGTTTCTCTAATCCTCCATTTCATGCATTTAAAAAAATAATGCAAAAAAATTCTTAATCAAACTACGTTAAAGAATACTGGTACTCTGATTAATTCTATACCTACGGAAATTCTATACTTACTGTACAAATTTTAGGGTCAAATAATCTGATACAGTGCTATTTTTGCAGTAATATTTACTGTAAAATCCCTGAATCAACTGTAGTTAAATAAAAATTTTAGTCAAAATTACGGTGTGAAATTTTAGGATAAAATGAATTTTACAGATGCTACGCTCTCAGAGGGCTAGTACTTTTTCCCGTAACTTGATCTAGAATTTTTTTACAGTGCAGCGAAGCCATTTTAATAATGAAGGAGAATTATGCATAGATATAAATTAGAAGTATAGTATAAAAGAAGAAAAACAAATCACCCAGAATAACTTTTAATTCAATGATCTGATCCTCACATATTAGGACGCAATATTCATGGTGGTGACCTTAAATATGCTATATGTTTAGAGAAGATACTTTAATGCCCAAGCATGTTATTTTTTTTTCTCGAAATAAAACTATTTCTTTCAGCAAAATTCGATTTTTAACCCTTAAAATACAGAATATTGTCGCAATCTTGGAACTATGGTCTAAGTCATTTGGTCAGGAGAGATGTATTAAGTTTAACATAAAATTGACATTGTATGTAAATTTTACTTTTAAGTATTTATCTATGTTTTGAGAACTTTTCAAGGAAATCGAAAATTTTCGCAATGATTATATATAATAATTGTTTATTCAACTGTAATTACAGACAAAATGTAATATTTAATAATGTATATCTCCAAATACAAAACTTGAATTACATCGTTCCAATAGTTCCTAAGAAATCAAATTAGTATGCAAGCCTAATATACAAGTTGTATATTAAATAAGTCGTACATTTAAAATTTGATTGTTTATTTTCATTTATTTAAAACAGTATTGAGCTCTAGTACGTGAAGATCCGATCATTAGATCAAAAGTAATTTATGGTGATTCGTTAGTTTATTTTTGCTGCACATTACCTGTTGATGTGTTACTTACAGATGCATCACAAATAATTCTATAATTGACTCAAGTATAAATTACCTTAAGGCTCCATGATCTCTTTAAAGCCACTACGCAGTTTCTATAATTTCTACTACATTTTATACTTTCAGGTGATTGACCTTCTTGAATCGTAGCACTTTCAACACTTTCACTATCGCAAACTGTAATTAAATTTTATATTCAGTAACAAATATTCCCACAGTTTATAACTGATTCTATTCAAGTTTAGGAAAAAACTTTATAAGTTTTGCTCCTAGAACTACATACATCTGTTTTAATATCGTCAACTCATTGCAAGTAAATAAAAATTTCTAGCATAAATTGTAATTTCTCTCTATGAATATATATATATAT